TTTTATTTTTATATTAAAAAAAATTTGTATTTTAATATTATATTATAAAAGAAAATTTCCAGAAACAGATGTGCGTGTGTGTATGTGTATCCTTCGAATAAAATAACCGATAAGAGAATTAAAATTAGAATTTGATGCTGTCAATATTGATAAAATTTTCCCATATCTCAATTACTATGAATATTCAGTTACCTTAGATTTCCGAATATTATCTCTGTGTAATAACTGATTAAATATATCAACAACTATTGACAACACAGTATTGATAAAGTTTTCGGTGTTCTGGAATGGAATTTGCTCGTGTTTCGCGCGCATACACCTAGTGCAACAACTAAGAAAAAGTAACATGTAAATAGTTAAAAGCTAAACGATCAGATCGCAACGTGTTAGTTTATTGTTCGGGTGAGAGATTCTAAGTGTGAGATTCTAAGAAAAAGCATTCGACATTCTCAACATCTTATAACTTTTCTCTATAAATCAAAAACTTGCTTTGTGCTTTATGCTAGTCAACTAGATTCCTAGAGTCGGGTGTCGTTCGTTTGCAGAGTGTCTACCGAGATTTATTGTAGGATTCAGGATCCTTGGGAAGGAAAAAGTTGAAATTCCCATACTTTTAACAATAAACGTTTCGAAAAACTTCATCAATCTTAAAGAATATAGTATATAATTTTGTCGTTTGATCGATTTTTTCCTCTCAAGATGCATACGATGTTATGAAAAAATTGAATTTGACGAGAAAAAATGAAAAAGATATACCACGGATTCATCATCGAAGTTAGTAGACACTCTGTTATTACGTGTATTGTTGTGTATAAACATCGTGGTCCAAGTTGAAACCGCACAATAGAAACGAACCAGATGTGTATTAGTGCATTAGGCGAATAGAGTACCTATACACGTATACACAATCCTGGGACGATTGAGATTACTTCCAACTTGGTTTGCAAGATACATTCGCTGTATGCGTGTATATTACGTGTAAGATTAGCCTCGTCGAAACAGTCAATCGCTAAAACATAACGTTATATATGCTATTAATTTCAAAATTAATTTCTATCACCGCCACATAACAAAATATTATTCCATTGCTATGTAATTATATAACTTATTAATCCTTTGCTTAGCACTATTCTAATCAGTCGGTTAGTCAATTTCTAATCTATCCTCAATCGTTTGACAAGTGTCAGGCAACATTAACGTTCGCGCATGCACTGGCAGTCGAATTTGTGTTCTCGGTTGAGTTATTTCGAGTCTCTCATCCTTGCCAGGCAAAGGATTAATCATATTAGACCGTCCCGACGGGTGTATCTGTCTGTGCGTTGTGATAGTGAATGTGTGTGTGTGTGTGTGTATATATATATAAGTATGTAAAACAGATGGATGCGATAAAAACGTGAATAAAAATGTATGTGTTTAAATTAGTCTTGATACGGTACGGATGTGAGTGCAATAGGTTTCTGTTGGTTTTTCTTTCGTTAGGTGGGTAATTGGGAGACCCACCTTCGGTTGACAAGATTGTCTCTGTAAGGATCGCGTGGCTGCCGTTTCATAATGTCCGACTCCGGTGCCTCGTAGGCTAGCGAGATGGCCGGCACCTGCCATCCACCATTGATTAGAAAGTGTACTAATTACCCCCTCCCCCACCCGCATTACAAAGAAGTTATATGCGAGAGATACATGTAACTGCATTATTGGTACTAGTATATTTTATGCACACATACACTCCCCTCTTGGTAAATATGTATGTACGTGCGGTGCGAGCGAAAGAGAGAGATTTGGAGATTGCACAAGTTAATCACATATACGTTTATATGTGCGTAAACGTTGGCCTTCTCATTCTGGTTCTTTTGAAACCCCCTCAGGGGTTGATGTTTCAATAGAAAAACTGGAGAAAACTGTAATCGCGACCCGTTTTTATACTAAACGCCGCAGCTTATCCTAGGAATAAATCGCACTTGCTGTTAAAAAATTGCGTTGGAAAATTGTGCCGTAAAATTGCGTTAAAGTGTATAGCAGAAATAGAGAAAACCTGTGAACGGTAGCGAGTGTATCTGTGCATCGGATTAGCGCTGCGTTTAGACTGACGGCCCGGAACAATCGGCAGAAGAAAAAAAAAGTGAAATCATTCGTGCCATATCTGATGCAAGTGAAAAAAGAGAAGTCACAAGTGAAATTACACGCGCACGCGTGAACCTCCCCGTCCTCGTGCTGCGAATCTCCAATCGTTATCACCCACCCGGCTCTCGCACTTTTCGATTGAATCATCGTTTTCAGCGGTGCTCGATGTTCCACGATGTAAAAGATAAAGAATAAAAATCTTGCAACGAGATTCCAATGTTATAGCAACTTGAATTGTTTTACAATAACTTTATTATATGTACTAAAAAATTCGCTAAAATTGCATACTAATTAATTAAAAAAAAAATTTGGAGATTTTATAATCTGTCATCAAAATGCTTGCCATCACAATCTAAAGGGCAAATTAAAAGACGAACGAGATAAATACGCGAGTCATCGAGCACTTTTAAGACTCGAGTGAGAAAAATCCCTTCTCTTTCGTGCACTTTGAGTACGATCTTGAGTATCGTTTCCGTTAGTATCGCGGCGGCGAAACCCCCTGATCTATTCTCGTCTTTGTAAAAGACTTGTTACCGAAATGACAAATCGTCTAACTGTTCGCAAACGAAAGAATCGCGCGTGCGGTACTGCACATCAGGGGGTTGCTACCACCGCAGAAATTTTCCCACGTTTCTCCAATTAATATATGCATATAAATCCCCCGGTTTCCCCAGTTTAGCAATTGTCGTTTTTGCACATGTATATGGTCGTTTCAGCACCCATTAGAAAGTTGCCAGTCGCAGAGTGGGTAGAGTAGGCAGCGGCAGTAGGCAGCGCATTACAGAATAAAACGTGAGAGGACTGTAAAGAATAAAAAACTGCAAGAAAAAGTTCATGACGCTCAAAAATGTACAAAAGTGTCTTTCTCTTTTTGGCGGTGATATATGGCAAGTAGAACAAACGGTATAGTAAATAGTAGTAAGTATAGTAATAGTAGTAATATAGAATAGTAGTAATAGTAGCAGCGGCAGCTGTGATATATATAGTAGATAAAACAGTAATGGCAGTAAAAATTCAGTAAAATTCTATGAGTAACGATGCTGGCTTGTGGTTGTAGTAATAATGATAATAACAAGACTAGTATATAGACCAGGACAAGAATAATAATGATAATAATTACTGAGCATCAAAGATTAATGTAAATATATGTATATATATAAATGTATATATATATATATATATATATACACACATATGTCTATATATACTTAATACAGACGACTCCCGCAAGAAGACTGCTACAACTCGAAAAGAATATAATTTTGTGTTCTCACCTTTTTAATTATGGAACGCTATTATTAAAGACTAGTTAAAGTCTCAAAATTTATCTAAGCACGTAAAATACGTTAATTTAAGCGAAAATATGACATGCTGTCAAACTAGATAGAGATACGCGCTTTCGAGAGATTTTACTTTTTGATTTGTAGTAATGTTCTTCCAGGAGTGCGATATAATGTACGTGTTAGATCGATTAGAATTTAACTAGTTGATTAAGATTTAAGCTTCGTCGACTCTAATGCGAAACATTTGTTTATTTTCATCACCGAAGCGCGTTCTGCTCAGAACAGATCCTCCTCGCCCTATCCCGTCTTTCCCCCAAGCGATTTCGTCGACGAAACTTGCTTTTCGCTGAATTACGAAATGACTAAGGAACGATCGTTGCTCAGTTGCGAGATTGATGAGAAAGGAAGAAAGTGAATCGCTTGATGCAGAATCTGATGCATAGCTTTTTTTCTCTCTAAGAAAAATCTAGACAAATTCTAGAAAAAAGAGAAAAAGAAGTTACGAAAAAGAGAGAAAAATAGGAAAAGATATGAAATGCGTGCGTCACGTAGGTATATAATCACGCGACAAATCTTACCGTTCTGCATCCATCGATTCAATCGATTTAGCTGACATATAACTTTTTTCGCTGCGTAAGAGCAAAGTCAACAAAGTCTTGGATAAAAATAAATAAATAAATGTCTAAATAAAATATCTTATAATAATTTCAAGCTCGTGATTTGCAATTCTGCCAATTTTTCCGAAACAATCGCAACAATCTCGTCCTTGTTCATTTACATGTACTCCGTAATGTTAAATCACATGATAGATTCTTTCGCCAAGCGAATATGAACCAATTCCAAGTTGAAAAGAATTTCATTTTCCCGAGTGAGGCGCAGCAACGATAAAACCTGGCCCGAGGCAATAGAAGCAGCCAGGAACAATGGAGGTAGATAGATAGACAGACAAGATAGAAAAGAAAAACGAGGAAAAGAGAGATAGAAAAAAAAGAAGGGAAAGTATATCTCGTTTCTATGCACAAACCGACGTACAAATGACAATTCTATTCTATCGTATAATGCTATTCTACTCAAATATTTACGGAGAAAAAAAAAGGGAGAAAGATAGTACTACCGTTTAATCTACGAGAGAACATCTTCGAGCTTCCGGAATAAAATATATAAAACTCTTCAGTCTCTATATCGTTCAGTTTCTATGTCGTTTGAGTCTTCCTTGTGTGGTATCGATGATGACGCAAAGCAGATTCACAAACGATCAAGTATTAACAAGTTGTGAGTTGCACATTTACGATATAAACACCACATAATATTCACAACACAATATACAAATGCCCCTTGCATTTATGATGCCTCTATCACGATTTAAAAGAAAGGCTAAAAAAACTGATAGCGATAGAGCGCGAAGGATGGTGTAGAAAAAAAGGATATGGATGAGAAAAGATGGATATACTATATTCATATATGAGAGAAAGAGAGAGAGAAAGAGAGCGTGCGCACACGCGAGATAAAAAATGGAGAAAGATGGGAGATAGGGATATGGCAGTAAAAAGAGATAAAAATGCCGTTTTGAATAGGAAAAAGAGGCGATAAGTAAAATACCAAAAGAAACGATCACACATGCGAGTCCTCACAACGATTTATGTCTTGTGGATGTCTCAGCAACCCATATACACTTCAAGCCAGTGGCAGACGACGACAGGATGACGACTGCAGCGAGGAATTATAGAACAACGATGAAGAGCTCTCGAGGAGAATAAAACTAGAGATAAGTAATAGAGACTTATATATAAAAAGAAAGAAAGAGAAAGATATTTATATGTATGTATATATATATATAGAGAGAGAGAGAAAGAGAGGCTTTACAATAAGAGATTGGCTTACCTTCGGCGTAGGATATGGATGAGAAAAGATGGATATACTATATTCATATATGAGAGAAAGAGAGAGAGAAAGAGAGCGTGCGCACACGCGAGATAAAAAATGGAGAAAGATGGGAGATAGGGATATGGCAGTAAAAAGAGATAAAAATGCCGTTTTGAATAGGAAAAAGAGGCGATAAGTAAAATACCAAAAGAAACGATCACACATGCGAGTCCTCACAACGATTTATGTCTTGTGGATGTCTCAGCAACCCATATACACTTCAAGCCAGTGGCAGACGACGACAGGATGACGACTGCAGCGAGGAATTATAGAACAACGATGAAGAGCTCTCGAGGAGAATAAAACTAGAGATAAGTAATAGAGACTTATATATAAAAAGAAAGAAAGAGAAAGATATTTATATGTATGTATATATATATATAGAGAGAGAGAGAAAGAGAGGCTTTACAATAAGAGATTGGCTTACCTTCGGCGTAAGGAAATAACACTAATACGATCAAAGATCATCGTGATGGAAGCGCTTGTGACTGTCGATATAAAAGGAAGAGAAAATTTCTCGACAAGGAAAAATTTGCGATTGCCCGTCTCGCAATTCGATCTTCTCGCGACAAATATATATATATATATATATATATATACTAAAAAGTATATTACAAGTCCATCTTTCGTTAAGATAACAGAATAATATTCGATCACCATGGTCGAATTACATCTTTTCTGTAAAGATACAAGCTATTCTGACAAATAAGTAACGAAAAATCGCGGACGAGCAAACATCTAACATGTAACGAGATTCAATCCAGCTTATTGTTAGAGCGAGTATAGAATATATGAATAGAGAGGAGAGAATCGGACTGAAAATAAAGCTCGCGTGTCCCAGCAACCAAACACCCGTTCAAGTGTTGCATCTGCGTGCACCATATCCCATCACTGTTACCTTATCCGCATTTTGTCCTAGCGTGTCCGACTCGACAACTCGATAGCGATAAGCTTGGCAAATTAATCCCTACATCGCGTGAATGTTATCGAGTGACCTTGGCAGCAATAATGACCAAGGTATAGTTTCTCATTTAAAAGGGAAAAAAATAAAAGAATAATCTAGCTTCTTTGTATTTGAAAAGAGAATATTTAAAAGAGATGATGAGTGTATTACTTGATGTTGAATTAATATTTAGCGTGTAAAGATCATTATTATCAAATAGGTGATCGGAGAAAACACGAGGGATCAATTTGCCCGCGAATCGTTACCCAGTTCACAGTTCCTGTCCTATGTGGGTATCGAACAACGAGCGAGACTCGAGAAAGAGACGTGAACCGAAATGTTCGCGTCGTATTTTATATCGTATAATAGAAGATTGAATCACTAACTACTAAAATCGCCAAAAGAAAAATAAAAAAGAAGTGTATAGCCAATAGAATGGCAGAGAGAGAGAGAGAGAGAGAGAGAGAGAGAGAGCGATCGCCGTGTAATTGAATTCTCGAAGCTCTATTCTATTAAAATGCTTAAACAAGTAGTTTTTTTGCGTGAAACATAAGAAATTGCGAAAGATTTATCGATATTTTAATCAATCCGAGAAGAGACTTCGAAAATACAGCGTATCATCACCGATGACTCTTTCGTACTATAGAAAATCTGTACGTAGCTTGTCAATATTTCGTTGTATGTTGTAGATGTGTTACCTTTCATTAACTAGCTTGTCTGTGAAGGGGTTTCGTGGTTGTCGCTTCATAATATCGCTCTCTGCTTCCTCGTAGGCTAGCGAAATGGCGGGTACCTGATGTCACATTATCAAAGAGCTCAGTAATAATGCCAACAATTAGATAACGAGTATGTCTTCCGATGATGTTGAAGTAAGAATACTGACATCTCGATTATATCTTGTTAAAATAAAATTATTAATTTAATCTGGTCATATACTATACAAATAATCCTAATATGAAATTAGTCCTAATAAATTAATATAGTGACCGGCTTGATATCGTCAGCATTCTTACTTTTACGATGAAGCATAGAGAATAAACAGAAGATAATTAACTGAAAAATAAAGAAACTAAAATCGATTAAGGAACTGATTTTGGAAGATATAAAGGAGATTCAGAGGAAATTCGAGGTAAATAGCTTTTTGCAGAGATAATAATTCCTAAAAAGGAACGTATTTTAACCACGAAAGTATCTCTCGTTACTTAAATATCTATTCCCTAAATCCAGTAAAAAAAAATGTATTCCTCAAATTGCAACGCATTTTATCCAATTTTTTAAATTTAAAATTCCTGTAAGATAACTTGTCTATAATATGCTCGATTTAGCTCCACCAGCGCACAATTGATCTAAAGAAAATAAAAGTATAAAGATTATTAAAGACATTTAATCGAATGTCGAGATTGTCTAAATTGTTGTCCACTAATCAATGAGCTGCACTGCCTCGATTGACTGGTTCGTTGCCTTGAAAAATGCTATCTATAAAGAAAAACAATATTGTCGGATGCATTTAGAGAAACTATAGATTTATGTCACACAATCTTCGTATCAGGTTGAACATTCCACATGTATCACGCTGGTACCTATCAATCATTATAAATGTCAAAGACCACCGGTATCTTTGAGAAACAGTGTTGTGCCTTTGTGACTATAAGCTATTACATCGTGATGGACGGCGCAAATGCTGAAATAATTCGATTAACCAATAAAAAGAAGATCGAGTAGCGATTTTGGAAGAGCTTTCCGCGAAACATGAGCATCTCTTCGAATGTCGTTACTCAACTCCAATACGTCGTTCCCATACAGCATTTCGTGACTCACCATGTCAGTGCCCAGATCGATGCAGAGAATGGTGACGGTACCCAGCGGCAAAGGGATATCGCAGAGGATAAACGCCAGGAAAGGCGAGATTTCGGGTATGTTCGAAGTTAGAGTGTAGGCGATAGATTTCTTTAGGTTGTCGAAGATCAAGCGACCCTCTTCCACGCCTGTCACAATCGAGGCAAAGTTGTCGTCGAGAAGGATCATGTCGGCCGCTTGTTTGGAGACGTCCGAACCGGCGATGCCCATAGCGACACCAATGTCGGCCTTCTTCAGAGCGGGCGAGTCATTCACACCGTCGCCTGTGAATAAATTGAACGTGTAATAAACGTTTCAACACTGCACTGTCAATTGCAAATAATCACACACGACACTGCGTGCTGTGAATTGCACACAGATATAATTATTATATTACAATTATATAATTCTCATGTCGCAATAATGAATTAGTTAATTTAATTAAAAAAGATTTTTTAATATATTAATAGAATCGTTTCTTCATAATGCAATGCAAAGTAAAACATTTTTTGTCTGCAAGTATAACTTACCAGTTACGGCGACAATCGCGCCCATCCGCTGGCAGCCTTCGACAATGATGAGCTTTTGTTGAGGCGAGGTACGGGCGAACACAATTTCGGTGTGGTACCTGAGAATCTCGTCCAATTGGTCGGAGTTGAGTTCCCTGAGTTCGGTTCCGTGGATGACCGCGGCTTTAGCCTCACGAGGATTTACTTCGGATACAGGGATATTTAACCGTTGCGCAATATCCTCAACGGTCTCATTACCTGATAAGTGAGAATAATAATGTTAATGTAATTGTGAAAGTAACAATTAAGATCTGAACAAAAGATTACTCGATTGTCAGAACTTTAATTAACTCATCAATTTTTGATCATTTCTGTGTAATAATATTGGAGAAATATATCATCAGATTCGATTTATATCTAACTCTCTTTTTGTAGAAATACTGTATAAAATTTGGCAAACTTTAATGATTGAAATTCGATAAATTTTGTGTATATTATGCTAAAAAGAGACACTGTTGCTATCATATATATCATTAAAGACAAAGGGAATATAGTTGTAAAATATATATTGTCATCAATTAAATAGCTGGACATGTTATTGCGTCGCATCCTCTTTACAACGCGAACTTTGCATATCTTTCAATAAAACCGCCCCAAGTTCCATGTGTAAATAGGATCGTCGTAAATCTTAAGCGCGGCCTATTATCTGAAATTACGTCTCATTAAGAGATTAAACTCATAAAAGCATCATAATCGAGAGCGACGAACGAGGTCTCGGAGATACTACAGCCGGTATCTAATCTCAAACGTCATCTGACAGCTGTTATCGCAGTTAAGCGATCCGATGGCGTGCGAAATGTATGTACCTTCAGAGATGATGCCGACAGATTTGGCAATGGCTTTGGCAGTGATCGGATGGTCACCGGTAACCATGATGACCTTGATGCCGGCGGAACGGCACTTGGCGACCGCATCGGGCACTGCTGCCCGCGGCGGATCGATCATAGACATCAGGCCCACGAAGCGGAGCCCTTCAACCGGGAAGTTGGGATCGTCGGCGTTGAATTTGAAGCCAACCGGGAACTTGTCGGACGGCAGTATGTAGTCACAGAAACCGAGTACTCGTTCGCCGAGTCCGCCCAATTCCAGATACGCGTTATTAAATGCCTCTTTCATCTCCTCGTCGAGAACCTACAAAAATATGGGTGAGTATAAAAAATGGAAAAGAGATAGATAGATAGATAGATAGATAGATAATATACTAAAATAAATTACCTTCTCTTTGCCACCGATAAATATGGTCGAGCACCTGTCCAGAATCCTTTCGGGAGCACCCTTCATTACCAAGAGATATCTAGTATCGTTAGGATCATCCGATTCATGTATGGACACCTGATATTTGTTGGTGGAATTGAAGGGAATCTCGCAAACTTTCTTGTTACGTTTCCTAATACCCATGACATCACCCAACGCAAGTTCCATGCACTTGAGCAGCGCGGCTTCGGAAGCGTCACCGTTTACTTCTCGCTTCAAAATCGGTTCACCATCCTGACCCGGCTTAAACTCGGCGCGATTACACAAAGTCGCAATCTTGGCTAGCGCCTTGAATCCTGGACTGGTACGGTCGTATTGCAAGCCGGACTGATCCTCCGTGGTATCGGCGTCAATGATCTGATTGTCGAACCACATGTGCGCGACCGTCATACGATTCTGCGTGAGAGTTCCCGTCTTATCTGAGCAGATGGTCGAGGTTGAGCCCAGGGTCTCCACAGCCTCGAGATTCTTCACCAGGCAGTTCTTCGAAGCCATTCGCTTGGCGGTCAGAGTGAGGCACACGGTCACGGTAGCGAGGAGACCCTCCGGTACATTCGCGACGATTATACCAATTAGGAAGATGACGGCGTCAAGCCAATGATAACCCAGAATAAAAGCTATGAGAAAGAATGTGATGCCGAGGAAGACAGCGACACCGGTAATAAGGTGTATAAAATGATGTATCTCCTTGGCAATCGGCGTTTCACCGGTATCAAGACCGGATGCTAGACCCGCAATCCTTCCCATCACCGTCTGATCGCCACAGCAGATCACTACACCCTTAGCCGTGCCTTCCACCGCATTCGTTGAGAAGAACGCGAGGTTCTTCGTTTCGAGCGGATTCTCGTTCGTGAATTCGGGCGACCTCGATTGTGGTTCGGACTCACCCGTCAGCGAGCTATTGTCCACCTTAAATCCGCGAGACTCGATGATCCTGATGTCGGCCGGTATCCGATCGCCGAACTTGACGTCGACGACGTCGCCGAGCACGAGATCCTCTGCCCGCAGAGTGAGTTTTTCACCCTCCCGGATCACGGTGGCGAATTGCGGCACCATGTTCTTGAACGACTCCATAATCTTGCTCGACTTGCTCTCCTGATAGTACGAGAATATACCCGTGACTATCACGACCGCCGCGAGGACGATGCCCAGATAGAGATTGTCGTCGTTCGGGTCCTCGCTGGTCGTGGCCTGAATTGAGTACGCGATGAAGCACAGAATTGCGCCGATCCACAATAGGAGGGCGAAACCGCCGAACAGATTTTTGCAGAACTTGACCCATTCCGGTGTCTGCTTCGGCGGCGTCAAGGCGTTCGGCCCATCCCTCTCCAAGTTCTCCTTTGCTTTCGCGTGGCTGAGGCCCTATTTTATTATATTTTTTTATTATATTTTAAATATAGACTTTATTATATTTTTTCATTATTTTTTTATTTTATTTTTAATCAATTCTTTTTATACTAATATATATATATTATCTTTTTCTTTCATGTACTCTTCTCCCAGCGTTAGAGTAGATTATTTAAATCGCTTATTCAACACGCGTTTCAGCGTCGCCAAGTAAATCCATTTTTAATATCTTTGCATTCGCGATTTATTTTACATTAAAAAAAATAAAAAAAAAAAAAATTAATATTTTATCTTGGCGCTAAACGTGTTAAAACATCGATCGATGCACGCTATAATTTCAATTTATATCGAATTTTTTTCGAAAGATTTTTATCATCTTGTTGTTACTTACGTTTTCGGGGTGCGTCTGAAATCTTTGATACAGTTCCTCGGGTGAGATTTTGTGGAAGTCAATGTCCAACTCCTGCTTCAGGTCATCTAGATTCGCTTATTCAACACGTTTCAGCGTCGCCAAGTAAATCCATTTTTAATATCTTTGCATTCGCGATTTATTTTACATTAAAAAAAATAAAAAAAAAAAAAATTAATATTTTATCTTGGCGCTAAACGTGTTAAAACATCGATCGATGCACGCTATAATTTCAATTTATATCGAATTTTTTTCGAAAGATTTTTATCATCTTGTTGTTACTTACGTTTTCGGGGTGCGTCTGAAATCTTTGATACAGTTCCTCGGGTGAGATTTTGTGGAAGTCAATGTCCAACTCCTGCTTCAGGTCATCTAGATTGTCCCCCCTCCGCTTTGGGTTCTTCCGCCGCGACTATTAATGGCAACAGACAGAAAGAGAGATGCGTTATCGAAAGATGTATTTCTGCTAATGGATTCGCCATATCGACGCTGCGTGTATGTACACGCACAACTTTAATATAGCTGTAATTACAAAGCCTCGAAGCGATTATAAACCGGCGCGTTGATCGGAAGGTACTCTGATAACTGACCAAGTAGAAGAAGATTATCAAAGCGCGTCGAATTACAAGATTGAAACCCACCGACGAATGAGGACAGGCTTTTGTAGACGAAGAGATCGATTGCAACGATATCGCCAAGAAACGAGGTGAACCGAGTTGTAATGATATGTCGTATACCGTAAGATAAGATACGATTGCACTAGAATGAGAGGAATGTTGAGCGCGAATGTCGTACATCAGCGAAAATAATTGATGACTAACGAAAATTCAGTGGACGACCAAACTATGATAAAACACATAAATTATTCGCAAGAAATTGTGCAAATTTTTTTCTTTGTCTTTTTTTAACGTAAAGTACGATATATTTAGTGCAATCTTATCTCATTCCATCGAACCATTGTACAGACACATTTAAAAGAATGCAATGTTTCTATTCACGTCGTATAATTAAAACGCGATTAAAACGTTATCGCAATTAAAGCCTAAACAAACAGAATTCTTTTAACATGCGTTAATGTGATTACGATAACTGAACCAAAATGAGAACGCAACGCCATAAATGAGAAGGATCCGGAAATGATGAAATGAAGGAACAAAGAAAATCTCCTTCGAAGAGATTTATCGTCCAAGCATAGTTAAAGAAGAGAAGCGTTACAACGAATAGAGAACTATTGCCCCATGGAAGAAACGATAGATTTACAAAGATCAGCATAAAGAAAGCGACAAGAAATAGAGAAAGAGACAGAGAGAAAGAAGATAGAGAAAAGAGATGAAAAGACAGAACGAGAGCAAGAAAAACGTTTTTCGTTTATCCCGCCCGCTGGTCGAGAAAAGAAGCGTAGATCCAGATCCGGAAATATAAATTATGTAGAAATCGAGCGCGGACGTAGAGTCTGCACCTCTGAATATACCTTATACATTCCATCTGCGGTTTTGTTGTCGTCGCGAATGTTGGGTAACGTGGCGACCCTGTATGAGTCTGAGCGGCCATGCTGTAAAAAAATGGGCGACAAAAAAATCATAAATACATCATGCGGATGATACAACAAAAAATACAATCAAAATAAATAAATAAATATATATATAACATATGTATATGACAAAATTGTGATTTGAAAATAATAATACATGTATTGAGTTTATCGCGTGTGTATATGTGTCTCTCGCGAATGAAATGCTGCTCCTCTTGAGAATCGAGCATCGGTGAATGCATCTTTCCCAAATGAGCAAATGAGCAGGGAGCTCAGTACGCGAATTATCTATGCCCAAAATTTTCCATTTGGAATTTTAGGCACGTTACTATAAAAGGAGACGACTGCTCAATATCGCCGATCCGAATGGACCAGTTTTCCTACAGCTCTCACGATCGTATCGGGCGCAATTGCGACCTTCTCATGAAAGAGAGAGAGAGAGACACGTGGCCGGGGCGCATTTGACACGTGACATCGCGGTGAGAGAGATGTGCAGAGGCGGAACAGAGGCCCGATTTTCAAGAGCGACCTCGGCGCGACCGCGTTCGGATAACGACAGTTTCCGGTAGTATGTGCCGGCTCAATGGAGACATGCTCGCCAGCGTCCACTATGCTCAATGCTCAATGGTAATCGGGTCCCGTAATCGCGATTACGAGAACCCACGCGATAGTACAGTCGCGATCAACGGCGAAACCTTCATCTCCGCGGAAATAAAATTCTTTACACATTTTCAAATAAAAAAAAAATATTTCCAGATAAAGTATAGTTTATTCCATCACAAGCTCGAAGGAAAGATACTGTGATAACCAATTTCTTTTTTATTACATTATTACGAGTTTGTTGTGTGTGGATTCTTATAAAATTTTACCAAAAAAATAATTTTTTAAGAAATTCCCAGAGTCTCAATAAAATTCCTGGAAAATTCTCTGATTTTTCCAGGTATAAAAGAAATCCCTGAGAATTCCAGGTTTCCCATATTTTTTCAAGGAATAGACATCCTGTACACATAATTACAGACGAATATTTTGAGATTAAGCTATTAAGTGCTCGATATCTTGGAAAGGAAACATTAGTTTAGAATTAAAACAAGTATAATTCATATATTTTTTCCTGAATATAAAAAAAAATGTATAAAGGCAAAGTAGATATTAAACGATTAAATTAAATACACATTATCAGTTCTCGCCCATACATTATTTTTCACGGCTATATTTCTAACCATTTCCCATAAGATGTTAAGTGACGAATTAATAACACGTATAGCATAAAGATATTTTTCGACATTATCGTTGGCCATGAAAACCCACAATATTCTCACGTATGTACCGGATGGACTAACTGACGAAACGCGAGACTCGTGACGCGCTTTACACGCGTGCAATTGCTGCACGCGGTCGTTAATTCTGTCACGACGGCTCGTTACGGCCGGCGATTAGATAAAAGACCAACGAGTCGACAAATCGGCGGTTACGATTGTAAAAAAAAAAAAAAAAAAAAAAAAAAAAAAACCCTGTTGCCCGATAAGCTTTTA